GCATTCCTGAAGTGTTTGAAGCTTGAAATACTGTTTCAGGCAGAGGGCACTTTCAAAATGCCCTCTTACAATGACAGGTGAGGGGTTGGATTTTTCTTGAAATTTGCACTTGAAACAGTTCAAGACAAAATAGTTTGCATACCCGCATTCCTGAAGTGTTTGAAGCTTGAAATACTGTTTCAGGCAGAGGGCACTTTCAAAATGCCCTCTTACAATGACAGGTGAGGGGTTGGATTTTTCTTGAAATTTGCACTTGAAACAGTTCAAGACAAAATAGTTTGCATACCCCTATAAAAATTATAATTGAACAGGGAAGGAAAGCAAAGAAATTCAGTTTAGTGTTGAAAAGTTATTAACTTGCAGTAGGCAAGCAGCCCCTCCGGAGTGGTTGATGTTCAGAAGCATTCTAATGCTTTTCAACAGTCATTTCTACAATTCATTTTTCAACAGTACTTTTTATTCTTCTCACTTCCAAGACAAGATTCCATCATTGCTCTGAAATATCTGTTATTTAAGAAACTCTGTTCCATTCAGCAGATTCACACAAAATAGTTTTACTGTGTTTTTGTTGTTTACTAAAAACAATATTGTGAGATAGTATATTAAAAGTTATTTCTTTAAAATCTCTCAATTGAGTTTTCATGTCTTTAAACAGGATTCACTTGGAGGTAATGCAAAAACATGCATCATAGCAAATGTTCATCCAGGATCCAGATGTTTTGGTGAAACCTTGTCTACCCTTAACTTTGCTCAGAGGGCAAAATTGATAAAAAATAAGGTATAGTATTGGGATATGTTGTCAGGTCACAAATGACTATATAATACGAGGCAACTTGTTTTGTGTTATTGTGAGTTGCTGCCTGAATGCTATCCAGATGTTTTGGTGAAACCTTGTCTACCCTTAACTTTGCTCAGAGGGCAAAATTGATAAAAAATAAGGTATAGTATTGGGATATGTTGTCAGGTCACAAATGACTATATAATACGAGGCAACTTGTTTTGTGTTATTGTGAGTTGCTGCCTGAATGTTAGACTTTTTAAACTTTTTTCATTACCAGGTGTAGGTTCCTTTTAATTGTTCTGATACTAGATTTTGGCTATAGCTTAACATCCTTGTCATAAACTGCAAGCTATCTGGAGTGTAATTCAGACCTTTAAACTAGTAAGAATTCTACCATGTTTATGTAACTTCTAAAATGATACATGGAGCTAGATCTCACATTGTTAAGCTCTATAACTAAATATGTATTTATATTTGTGAATAATATGTATTATCTATTAAATTTAAAATCTTATTGAGGATTTTGGACTCCAAAAACAATATTAGCCATTTCAGCTGTTGGATGATATTGAAGAAGCTTCTAAATTGCAGTTTCCTGTGATTAGACTGAAGACACGCTAGCTTTTTTGCATGAGATAATAAGCTGAAAATATTGGCATTAAAAGTTTAGTTCAGTTTGTTAAAAACTAATGAACTAGAAAGAACAAAACTGAAAGACAGAAAATTGTGCATAATGTGGATAACTTACATAATACAAATCAAATTTATGCATCTATTTATAAACATTTGTGGGTATCTGTGGTTTAAATGCTTTAGTTTTGAACATGGAAAGTTAGGGTTGTGGCAACAGAGAGCATGATGGTCAACTATTAAACAGATGAGGAAGAAACAGTAATAGATATAAGTAGAGGTAGTGTCCAGAAAAAAGGAGAAGATGGTTCCAAAGTCCATTTTCATTCTGAGCCTTCAGGTTTAAAACCTTTGCTGTATGTGCTTTGCTCAGTTTATTTTTCTGAAAAATAAGGTTTACAAGGGAACACTACATTCAATTTTTTTTAATTTCTGGGCTAAATAATGAGTTACCAGCAGAATATAGTCTTATTTTTCAAAATTATTTTCTCATTATAGAATGGCTTTTAAGAGTGAGCACCTTAGATTGAATTGTATAGTAGGATTTTCTGTGTGATTATGAATTTTGTGTTCGTATTTGTTTCATTACCTTAAATTCCCGCTCAAGGCTGTGATAAATGAAGATACTCAAGGGAATGTAAAACAACTGCAATCTGAAGTGAAGAAATTGAAAGAGCAGCTTGCTTTGATTACTTCAGGGCAGAGTATAAATGGTATTTCTACTCCTGCTGGTAAGTCTTCCCCCCATCTTTATCTGTATACAGGTAGTCCTCACTTAACAATGGCAATTGGGACTGGAATTTCCATTGCTAAGCGATGCAGTTGTTAAAGTGTGATGTCACATAACCACATCACTTAGTGACAGCAATCCTGGCAGTCCCCATTGCTGTCATTAAGTGAGATCGTGGGTTGTTAAGTGAGGACCTCCTTGTGACCTGTTGCCAGTTTTCAACAAACAAAGTCAATGGGGAAGCCGGCAGGAGAAAAAGGGGCAGATGTGGGAGCGACTTACAGGGAAACCCTGCCAGTTTCCCCACTGACTTTGCTTGTAGGAAGCCGGCAGGGAAGGTCACAAATGGCAATCATGTGACGGTGGGATGCTGCAACCGTCATAAGTGTGAGCCAATTGCCAAGTGCCTGAATCACAATCACGTGGCCGTGGTGGTGCTGGGATAGCCAGAACGTCAAGGAGCAGTCTAAGTACCACTCATTCAGCACCATCATAACTATGAACGGTCACTGAACAAGTGGTCATTAACCAAGGACTACCTGTATTGTTTTTCCAAAAGCTAATTTGTTTTAGTGTAATTAATCTGTTCTTTTTAAAAAGAAATGTTTTCAATTTTAACTTGGCCACCTGTTATCTGAGTATAAATTCCTTAATTAGTTAAAAAATATCTTACATACACTAGAGAAAAGTAATAGCAGGCTTGGTGAACTGCAATCTGAAGTGAAGTGGTTTACTGAAATACACCCCAAAGTCCAAAACAAATAGGGTTTTTTTCCTCTGAAGATTGTAAGATCCAAACATAGATCCAAAGAACCCACTGAGTATGGATTATTAATTCAGTAATTGCAAGGGGTCAGTAAAAAATGAAAATAACCTGGAGTATAAACAGGACCCAGTTAGAACTCTGGAAAGAATTACTCTGCTGCAACATTTTGCAATTGGTTCACTTGTATAAGGCTGTTATTGGTACTGGGTGTATGTTGTGTACATACCTTTGCTGTAGATTAGTTTTCTTATTGCTTTTTTAATTAATGATGGTGACTGACAGGAGATCAGGCTCTTATTACAGAAAACGCTTTATTACACAACTATATTCAAAATATTACTGGGTGTTCACATATTACAGACTGTGATATCTTATTTGTGTCCCGCTTAAACCTTCTCCCTATACATTTGTAAGAGTTTGTTCCTTTTCTGTCTTATTTCAATTCAATTTCCTTTAGACTCCAGTTTTTGACCTTGAAACTTTATCTACATTTAACATCTTTCTGTGCCCTAACACTGTTCTTCACTTCATCTCCCCTGCTCTCACTTCTCCCTGATTATCTATCTCTTTTAACACTTTCTTGACTCTTATTCCTTTGTAGTTTAACTCTTAGACTTTAATTATTTTTACTACTATCTCTTGTTTCTGTCTCCCCTCCCCTCTTTCCCTAGAGTCATTTGCTTTTTCCTTCAAGCACCTGGGTCTGAAGTTACTTATTATGGGTACAGCAGTAGCTTGCCTTGTCCTGTTGATGCCATGCCATTCTTCTCTCTCAGGCTCCACCCTTCTCCCAGTGGCCCCTGTGGGAATTATTCTCTTGCTAGCTCTCTTCTTTTTGTCCTTGCCTCAAGATCCCACACAGCTACTCTCCAGCAATTCCCATCTTTGGCCCAGCAACCATCACCATTCTTAATGGATTTTTCTATAGCCTTTGTGACTTCTGCTTTTTGTCTTCTTTTTTTTTTCAGCCATCTCCACCTCACAGTTTTGATGCTCTCACAAATAGCAAGCCCTTCTCTAACCTGTGCTAGTTTTCAGCTGTCCCTATTTTAATACTTCTCAGTTTACCTCCTCCATTCCAGAAAGGTGCTGGTCTGTGTGCCACAGAGGCTGTCTCTCACAATTAGACAATATGAAAAACTTAAGGGTAAAATTCTGTAGGCAAACAAATTAGGAGTGTTATGCACATATAACATTATATACTTGAAACCTAATCAAAATAGTTTGATCCAGGTATAGTTAGCTGCACAGTTATTGTTTCTAACAGGCAAGATGACATTCTGACTTGGCACTATTGATTTAAGTAGTTACTAAAACTAATGAACTTTAATTAATTAATGAACTTCATCCACCCAGTTTATGCAGTGGAATTTACTTCCATTTAAATATACATAAGATTACAATCTAATGACTAATCCTATGGAGAAGTAAGCATTTCTAAGTAACCCTATTTATTTCACTGGTTTTAGATGAACCTAATTCTCTACCAATTTAAACTGATAAACTAATTTAATCTAGTGAATCTGATTAATGAGTAATCATATTTACGATTGTGCAGATTTAATTTAATGCATAATTAAAGTGTTAATGAGTTATGGTATCTAGGCAATACAACATTTATTTTTAGAAAAGAGATCAAACTCTTCTTCATTCTGAATATTATTTAATCTATTTTAATATTTGATTATCATTATTAAGCAAAGTGCATTTTGTTACAGCATATGAAAACATTAAATATACCAAGTAAAACATAGCTAATATTTTTCTGGTTTAATTTATTCTAACATTTATATCACTGTACATTATCTTTAAGCTACTGTCATGCATGATGCTGGAAATACAGGTTATATGAATCATTTCTTTGAAGCTATGCTCTTCTTGGAAAAATGTGAAAGTGAAAAAAAGGTAAGCACTGATTTTAGAAATAGTATTTAAGAAGTTCAAAGAACAAATGTCTTTATGCTGTCACATATCAGTTTTCTTCCACTTGTGAAAGAATAAACACAGTATTTCTTTATTGAGAATAAAGACAGTGAATACAAAAAGAATATTAACAATGTGTTCCTGCCTTTTTTTAAATAATTTCTTCTGATCATTTCCAAAATAAATCATGTATGATTCATATTGTTATTATATTTGCTAAATAATCTACATTTATTTTAAGGTGCTATTAGAAAAAGTTAGACAACTAGAAGATCTCTGTATGACAAAGGAAAAATTCATTCAGTCCAATAAAATGATAATTAAATTCAGAGAGGATCATATAACTCGCCTGGAAAAAATACATAAAGAAGCTCATGGAAGTTTTTTGCCCAAAGATCAAGAAGATTTTTTCAGAGAATTGAAGGAAGAATTAAAGATTCTCAGAGAACAGGTAGATGTATTTTGTTAAATGTCTAGTTTTTGGAGTATATCCATTATGTTTAGATACGGCAAGCCAAATGCCTCCAAAGAACATACAAATAGCAACTGCCTTTCCCTGCTTAAGTTGCAAATAGCTAATATACTGCCCTATGCATGGAGGTTAGCTTAATGCTTAGTCATTTAGATTAGATCTGTCCTTCCTTAGCTTGATTTTGGTTAGCATTTGGTTAGAAATATGTGTATTACTATCATTTTTAAAATTCAGATGGAAAAGCTGTGGTGAACTGTTTCACCTACAGTATAAAGTTAAGGCATGATTAAGTACTAGCCAGGTGAGCCTTAACAATGTTCCAGTTTGCACATTATCCTTCTTTTCCACAAAATGGGGGGGGGGGGGGATGACAGTTTCCCTTTCCACATGGCTTGTAGTTGTGTACAAACCAGACATTATACCTTAATACAACATTATTATAGTACAAGAAGGAAATGTATCTCTCTAGCTTCTCCTGATGCATTCCATTTGCGTTTAACCGAAGTTTAGCATCTTGTGTGAACCAGTTCTCTGCAGGTAGTTTAGTAAACAGTTTAAATGTATTACTAAGATACTGTTACATAACTCAAGGATTGAATTTTGATTTTATAGGTTTTGCGTTCCTTTCATATAGGATACTTATTTGATCTTGTTGATTTATATATTGTATTTTTAAAAACTATTATTTTTATTGATTTTTCCATGAGGTTAAAATACATACTTATTATTAATAAAACTAACTCGGTAAGGAAGTGCTTATCTCTGCTTTATTTGAGGAGTATAAGATACAAGGCTTTTAGATATTTGTTTTGAGCTATATTCTAAAAATGGTTTCAAACTAGGATAAAGTCTGAACTTTAAGTGTAAGTGTAAATGTAAATATTTTCAAGCTACTGGATTGGCCCAGGCTTAATTATTATTTAGAGAACTCCCATAGAAATCAGTGACACTTAAATTAGTTGGGATTAATTTAATTTCCACTGACTGTAGTTGTCTACTATGAGTATAATTTTGAATCCAATTCTGTATGTGTAGTAGCAGATTTTTAAATGAACATAGACAGTAACAAATGTAAATTTTGTTTTAAGTTTGGTACTAATATGTTTATACATAAATTTAAACAATTATGAATAGGTAGAACAGCATCCACGAGTTTCAAAATATGCCATGGAGAACCATATCCTCCGAGAGGAAAATAAACAGCTTCGTTCACTACAAACAGTGAAAATAACCCAAGAAATGGATGCTCAGACCATGGCCGAGTTGGAAAATATTTTCTTAGAAATTTCAAATAAAGAATGCAATAAAAAAGGTATGGAAAATGTATTTAAATTTCTTCATATAATTAAAATTAACCCTAATTTTAAAACAATTACACCTTAATCAAATAATACTGCATTATTTATGACATTATTTTCCTTTCAAAGCAATCCTTCACTAATTTTTTGGGCACTGCATTTTCAAGCTTGCCAGTTTTATCCAATTTCTTTGGAGAATTATGTTTTTTCTAAATTAAATGAACCAAATACTGATAAACATAGTAAATTGTTGAAAACCTGGTTGTTCTCCCAGCCCTTGAGATAGGATGGTTGGTCATTCTCCTTTGGGGTTTTTCATTTAGATATTTTTTGGTTTTCTATTAAGGATGTGTCTTCCAGTCCACTATATCATCTTTTCCTTCTTCTCCTTCTCCTTCTCCTTCTCCTTCTCCTTCTCCTTCTCCTTCTCCTTCTCCTTCTCCTTCTCC